TTATAAGAATTAGAAAAAATTACATTATTGTTTATAAAATTTTATCCAACACCAAAGGATAACTTGCATAAAATTTGATATAATTAGATAAAATTCCATAAAAGTTATGTGAAAATTTCATAAGTTTCATAAAGTTTATAAAATGTAATAAAATAAATAATTTAGGTACGGATCAAAGCTTTTTATGTCAACTTTATTTCAATTCAGCAACGTTTCGCCAAGGATCATGGCTTCTTCAGGTATCTAATTACATACATACAATAATTAGCAATATTATCGCACGATGATTTATAAAATATCATAAGGTCATTTTCTGAGTAAAATTTTATGATATTATACTGCCGTCATTTCAAAAAATGCTAGGAAATTCTATGAAATTTAATGAATAAATTTTTCTTTGTTATTATCAAACGAAATTGTAATGAAGAGAAAATATTTTTAATGATAGTTAACTCTTAATAAAAAAATTTTTGTCATTAAGTCGATTGTACATCATTGAGTTCATTATATTCTTATTTTGTTTCATTATCTTTAAAAACATCCTAATATTTTTTTCCAATTACGAATCTTAAAAAAAAAAAAATTACTACTACTTTTCTATCAATTACTGATATTTATAATCAATTAATAATCACTTTTTAATATTAGTTCATAATTTTTTAATACATTAATTACTAAAAATAGAAAAACTTAATCTCGATCAAGTCTGATTCAAAAATATAATCAAATCACTTGAAAAAGAAAATTAATATTTTTTCTAAAAACATACAATTCAAGAAAACAAACTTGTTTTTATTGTCAAATGTATAATACATACAAATTTTAGACGAAATTTGAATAAAATACGGTACGTGAGATTTTTTAACAGATAAAATGCGTCAACCTGTTGTTTGACACAAACGTTCATATATTCGCCATATAGTACACGTACAACTATAATATATACCATACCATACGTCGTAGAATAAAAGATGAAAGAAGCTGAGGTGAAGCAGAGGACATATATATTTGCTGATGAAAGAAAATAAGAGACACTATTTTAACAAAGTCTTTCCTCGGTCCTCAGTAGCCCACGGTGTCATTCATACATATTATACATTCGTTGTACTAGAATACATGTTTTTCATATGATAAATGCGTCTCTCATGTGAAAGACCTCGAGATTCCATTAAAAGATTCACGCGTGATATTGAATCTAGTAAATACTTAATAAAGGATGTTGAGATTTACTTTTTATTCAAAACCGTGGGATTTTATTTCTTCAATTCAGGAGTTACATTATTAAAATTTAGATTTTTTAAAAAGAGTTCAATTATTCGAATAAAAAATTTTCATGCTCTTAACCCGTCATTACAATTTTTTTTTCTTTCAAATAAAAAACTGAATACATTAAATCTTTAAACCTCTTAATTTAATTATTCATAATCCACCGTAGTAAAAAAAATAATCCACGAAATTAATTCACTCGTCGCCAGGTGTCAATTGTATCTATACATATAATTTTTTTATTTCAATCCTTTCATTAGTAATTATTTACGCATACATTACGACAACTTATGATTATTATTCACCCGCTTAATTCTTCTGAATTTAAAGTTCAAATTAAATAGTTTGGTTATAAAAAATTTTTCTCTGTCCATTTTTTTTTCTTTGTAAAAATTTATATATGACATGTAGCTTGAGGCCCATCTACAACATCATCATGACCGTGTAATTATAACGAGCGTGACGAAGCCTAATCGCTTCCGGTCCTTATACACTAAACGTTTTGATACACAATAAAACAGAAGAAAAAGATAGTGTTTTATTTATTACCGCTTTTTTATTCTCACGCTAGTGTTTTCATAAATTTTATTTACTATTTATAATTTTGAACGACCTGGGGATGGTAATAAAAACCGTCCTTACGTTTTATTTTACAAATTGCAAGACAGTACCCTCCTGCCCCCATTGCTTTTATTCTATCCTACACGGAGAGAAAAATATGGAAATCATTCCTATAATTTTAATGAAATATTTTCCTATACCATTTTAGGAGCGATTACTTAAATTATGGGAACTATACCCATAATTTTTGGGAAACGTTACTATAATTATGGGAATGGTTCCTATAATTATAGGAACGATACCTATAATTATAACTGTAATATCGGCATGATTCCTATAATATATAGGAATAGTTTCCATAATATTATAGGAATAGTTTCCATAATATTATAGGAACTATTTCTATAATATTATGGGAACCATTCCCATAATATTATAGGAATGATGCCAATAATATTGGAGTAATTTTCTTCACACAACTGTGGTATTTAATTAATTACTTTTCACTAGATTAATTTTTTTTTTTGATTAAGTGATTCTTTTTTTATAATATATAAATTGATAAAAAAAGTTATCAGTAATAATATTTATTATTATTATCATTATGAAATTAATCAGTTGATATTTTTTTAATCTTGAATGGTATACATGCTTGTAAATTAAAATAAAATTAATTAAAAAATTTCCAATTGATTTGAGATTCCAAATTTTAAAATGTTTTCGCGGCTCAACGTATGTATTGTAAATAAATAATTTGCTTTAAAAATAAAATGAAATTGTGAAAATAAACAATGAATTACCATATCTATTTTGCTCCTACAATTGCATAGTGAGAAAATATCCTTTTTATTAGACAAACTTTGAAATTGCTACAATATTTTTCAATATTATTTAACACAATAATAACTGAGCTGGAATAAATAATTCAAGATTAAGTACACACATGAATAAAAATTATGAAAAAGAAATTTCGTCACTCTAATGAAAGATCAATTTTTATTTACAAAAAAAAAATTTATAGGGTATGGTTCCCATAATGAGTATAAGATTAATGCCTATAATGATAATTTTATTATAGGATCCATTCCCATAATTGTTGGAAAGATTCCTATAAATTTTTCTCTGTGTAGTCTTGTTAGTTACCAATAATAAATTATTAACTAAATATAACAAAAGTTTGTTAAATTTCAATTGAGAGGACACAAGTATCTTAAAAATAAAAAAGACGTATGAAGGTAAGAGAAACTTTCTTTTTTGTTTCTCAACTCAGCTTATAAGCCAAAAATAGATTTTAAATGTAAAAAAAATCAAATGAATAAGTTTTTGTAGGATATAATAGAGATATTGGAAGTATAATAATTGGTTCAATCTGTTAACGATTTGAAGAGATCGAGAAATAAGTAATTATTATACAACTTTCTTGAGTATGACGTAAGTTCGTGATCACTCAAGAAATTTTTTTTTTTATTAAGTGATTCTTTTTTTATAATATATAAATTGATAAAAAAAGTTATCAGTAATAGTATTTATTATTATTATCATTATGAAATTAATCAGTTGATATTTTTTTAATCTTGAATGGTATATATGCTTGTAAATTAAAATAAAATTAATTAAAAAAAAAAGAAAAGTTAATTAAAAAAAAAATTTCTACTAGAAAAAAAAAAATTTCTGAAATAACATAAAATTTCCAATTGTTTTGAAATTTCAAATTTTCAAATGTTTTCGCGGCTTAACGTATGTATTGTAAATAAATAATTTGCTTTAAAAATAAAATAAAATTGTGAATATAAACAATGAATTTCCATATCTATTTTGCTTCTACAATTGTATAGTGAGAAAATATTATCCTTTTTATTAGAGAAACTTTGGAATTGCTACAATATTTTTCAATATTATCTAACACAATAATAACTGAGTTGGAATAAATAATTTAAGATTAAGTACACACGTGAATAAAAATTATGAGAAAGAAATTTTTTCACTCTAGTGAAAGGTCAATTTTTATTTACAAAAAAAAATGTTATTAGCAAAAAAATACATGATAATTACTTTATATTTTTGAAGTGATTGCTTCATTATTTAGAAAATAAACTTTTTTCTATTATTATGTGCGTCATTCCCATAATATTATAGGAACCATTCCTATAATATTATAGGAACCATTCCTATAATATTATAGGAACCATTCCTATAATATTGTAGGAACCATTCCCATAATATTATAGGAACCATTCCCATAATATATTGAAGCTATTCCATTATTGTATAGGAACGTTTCCAATAAATTATGGGTATGGTTCCCACAATAAGTATAGGATTAATGCCTATAATGATAATTTTATTATAGGATCCATTCCCATAATTGTTGGAAAGATTCCTATAAATTTCTCTCTGTGTATAATATAAAATCGATGACTAAAGTGAAGTTAATTTAGTATGGAAATTCCCGATACCGATCAAAAAAATGGACCCTGATTCCTTATTGGTTCAGGATTAGAGCATGCGCGTACAGCGCGCTATTTAAATTTCCAGTCAATATAGTCATTTAAGTAATATATTTAATACAATATAAGAGGATAATTCTTAAAATCGAGCAACCGACAGTTCACCAACATTTACCATCAATAGTAGTAAAAAATTACCAATTTTATAATAAAAAATACTCAGTTAAGACAAATATTGAACTATTCAATAATAGTAATAACAACAACAAACACAATAATATACTAATATTAATTAATAATAATAGCGAGAAAATTTTCTGATATGGCCTAATATGCTCATATGGTTACGTAACGATTCATCTGCGACATTTCATCCGCGAACGATTGATCTCCCCGACAATTGATCCGCACGACAAATGATCCGTGATTAATTTTCAGATAGGGAATGGCTTACAAGTTCTTTATAAGAAACAGCATGTATTTTTATCATGGTTTTTGTGTGTATTTATTCGACATCAGACCACCACATAAGCTTGTTACCTCATTGTGCCCTTTTATCATGGGTTTTGTGTCTGTTTATTCGACATTAGATCAACACATAACCCTAGTAGAAATAATCGAGCTTTCACTCGAGATAAACCAGTATCTGGCCAGAGATATCGGGTAAGAACTCGAAATCGCGCCACCTATTACTAGATAATAAACATTTTTTATTGTTTATAGCAATTATTTAGACCGGCCAGTTTGCTGGCCAATCTTCCTTGCGCTTGCTGAAGTTTCTTCGTTTACTTTAAACACTCTATTCCGTCTACTGCATTCTTTACGGAAAAATAGGGTCATAATGTTGTGTGTAATGCTTTTAAACAAATTGTTTTGATGATGCTTACATGTAAACCGTGTTGGCGATATTAACAGCGTTATCAGCATTTCAAAATGTACATAAATATCCTTCGTATGAAACAATGGGATAATTTGGCGTTCAAAAACTTGCCCTGCCGATTTAATGTATTCATTTATGCGATTCATTAAATTACCATCTCCAAATAACTGAGATTTACACTCAGAGCATGTTTTCCGTTTCATTAATGAAGTTATTTGACTGGCTATTTCTTGCTCAAAATTAGTAGCTGAAGAATCATCTGAATTTAAATCGTTTTCAGGAAAATTGAACATTGTATAGTCAAAGTTTTCGTCAGTAGCTGAAATACTTATTGTTGGGAAATCTTGTGTTGTTAAACTGTCTTCGGTCACCCGAGTCTGTTAATTTTACATAATCGATCATAAATCTTAAAAATTTGTTATTTGCAAACATCATTAATTAACTACAACTTACTAACGACTATGAATTTGAATAATTCAGGACTTTGTAAGAAGATTAGCGCATGCATTGAACAGTGAATTTTGCGACAGTACACACCACAGTCCAGAAATGGTGATTCACAAAGCTGAAGAACTTGTCCAGGAAGTTAATCGACTCCGTACCAAGAGTATTAATTTTGAAAGCCAATTAACTAGCGTAGAAGTTGAATCTAAGAGCTGCCGAGATTTATTAGAACGATCTAGTATTGAAAGAGATCAATTGCAACGACAAGTTAGCACGCAATCAGCTGAACTGGAACGACTTCGTCAGGTCAATTTTTATCAAGTATTCTATGTAATTAAGGAAATAAGGAAAATTTTGTCTTCGGCGTATTTGTAAGATAAAAAGGGTTTTTGAAAGTTAAATTGTAGTATATTGGAAAGATGTTAACCGAAATTTGGCTTTTTTCAAGGTTTCATTATGCTTTTTAAAAATCGTTAATTTATTGTAAGTTTTCGGAGTAGTTATAAATAGATTCAAATTTCAAGCGAATGAAATTTGGTACTACCAGAAAAGTCGTAACTTAATTTTATGTCTTTTCAAGGTTTAATATTGTTTTCGGTGATAATAAATTTATCATCTGAACAATTATGAGAATAAAGAGAATTTTGTACGAGCATATGTTTCTATTAAAAGGAATTTCTATAGTTAAATTTGATATCAGAAAGGTCTTGACGTAAATTTGTACTTTTTCACGATTTTATGCACTTTTTAATAATAGTCGATTTTTTATGTCACGTTCTTGGAGGAGTTTTGAATTGTCTATTAGTTCCATCATATTTTCCTTTAAATTTTTTATTAAATTTAAGGTATTAAAATTATCTAAGTTAAATTAATTATAAAATTATTATCTATTAATAATTAATACCCGAGTCGAAATTTAAGTCGTAGATTCAACTTATTGAACGTTGAAAACGTAAGTTCAACGTATTGGATGTTGAAATCGTAATTTGAACGTATTGAACGTTAAAAACGTTAGTTGAACGTATTTAACGTATTGTGAGCGTAAATTGATTTTAAATTTTGCTGGTGCACCATTCATGCAAGTATATTTTACAAATTCATTCCACTGAAGTGAAAATTTTAATTATTAATGAAATTTTAGGTATATTGAAGCTTTATGCTTGAAAATCTAACTATAAGTCGGTCAATGAGCTCCTCAAATGTTCAAAATATTTTTGAAATGCAAATGAAAATCAATCTAATAGTTTTCAAAGATCTCAAAATATCGAGATTGAATGAGAATTTGGCTCTCAAAAATCAATCTTAATTTAATAACTTCCTTAATTCCAATCAACCGTAATTTTATTAGTTGATTAAATATGCAAGTAGCTAAAAATTAACTCAATCAAATCTTTGGGAAAAGCTTTTAAATAAATTTAGCCTATAGGTTATTTTTTACGGTTTGGTATATGACATTTGTAACTTTTAATTTTTACTACGGATCATATATTCTTCTTAAAACATTTGAATCTATATTTTTTACGTTCAATACGTTCAAATTACGATTTCAACGTCCAATACGTTGAACTTACGTTTTCAACGTTCAATACGTCGAATTTACGGTTTAAACGTTCAATACGTTGAATCTACGACTTAAATTTTGACTCGGGCACTGGTGCCATTTCATTACATTGTCGTTGCACATTAATACTTTTTTGAACGTCTTCTTTACTCAAATTTTTTTCCGATTTAGAGTACCATCCAGGCCTACTTTATCCGTTTCCTATTAATATTTTGACAAAAAAAAAGATATTAATAATTAATTCAACTTTTTGAAAATATATTTAAAAAATTGACTGCAATAATTACTTACCGTGGTTAATCGACGTTTTTGTTTTTTTTTTTTGGAGCACCGTATATGACACGGTTTTCGCAATAGTTAGCGGGACTTAACTCGATTGCTAAAGGAACATTCGGTTCCAAATTGTCTCTGTCGATTTTCAGAATTTCAGCCGGTACTTCTTCTAGAATAGCTGTAAAAATATTTTTCGTGATAAAAAAAAATTATTGAAAGTTCTGATGAGATAAGTAATGAAACAAGTATTTAGATAAATTACCATCAGTCTTTATGATTTTTACATTTTTTAATGGAAACTCTTTCATTTGTTCTTCACTTAGAGGAATGATTTCTTCTTCAAAAATCGACGGAATCGCATTTTCTTTCAGTTTCTTGCGTAACTGAATTTTATAGTCATTGATATTAAAATGACAGCTGCAGACAAATCGATTTGCCGAAAGAAACTCTATTGTTAGGAACAATAAATCAGAATCTCCGATAATTTGAACCCAATCCTTGCACCTGTATAATTTTTTATTATCTTACAAAAATCAGCTTATAACAAACGATGAACTATATTTTTTTTAACAAATATTTTATTATAGAAAAAATTATTTCAAAAATTCTTTTAGATAGAGATTTTAAAAAATAAATATAAATTTTGATCAATTATTGCCTTATGATACGTATTTGCTTAGAAAATTATAAAATTGAAAATGATTTATCAAATTCAATATCATTGCTGAAAAATGATATTGAAAATTTATTTGCACATAAATAATTAAATTATCAATAAAATAGATTTGAAAGGAGGTATGAAAATAAAAAAACTAACCTCTGATTGTTTCGTGGAAATGTTGAAAAAACGCATTTTTGCTTGTGCTTTTGATGCCGGTACGATTTCACTACACACCTTGCTGCTGTTGGCATTTTTTTAATTAATGTTGTCTAGCTTTAAAAAACAATAGACGATTTACGTGAAAATTATAATTAATTTTCTTGCGAAAATAATAATGACGTGCACTAACGTACCGAAACACGTGCATAAATGTGGCGTTGGTATCGCTCAATGCTGCCACTCGATCATATTAGTTCTAAGTTGATTGAGTTTTGTCACTACAAACTTCCTTAAACTTTCGTCGAAATAAGAGAAAGGTCGATAGTTTTAAGTGATAATGATAATTAAGTTTCCCCTGCACGTAAAAACCCGCATACGTCCGCCATAGGACGAAAAATTTTTTAAGCACCATGGGCAAGTCACGCGCAAATACGGTCACGGCAATAATTATTTGCAGCAGGGATATAAAGCCTCGGCCCTATGTCTACTGTCCCCACTACGAAACTTTTCTTGAAGTAATTGCCAAACGCTATTTTTTTTTTTTTTTAATATGTAAAAAAATTCAAGGAATGCAATGGTGTAATTTGCACGCAAATTTTCGTTGCCGATTTTTTGTTATTTATAAAAAACTGTTGCAAAAAAAATTTCAGCTGAGTTAAATCAATATTTACGGATATACTTTTTCCGTGGAGTTGTTTTAATGTTAATAATTAAAAAATTCAATGTTTTATGAATCTATTGGTCACTAATTTTCCATAAAAACATTAATTTTTAATAACAAAATAATGAAATTAAAATAATAAAATACTCGCCTAACAGTGAGCTTGTTACCGACACAGTCTGCGCAGCTCCGGAGTGGGGAAAGTTGCGCGCGCCGGCTGGGTCCGTTTGAATTGTCACAGCGTATGATAAATAAAATTTTCAATCAATTTTTTTTTTTTTTCATTAAAATAATTGTGATTTTTAAAAATTTTTATCTAAATATTGAAAAATATAAATATATATTATATAAATATTAATTTTAGATTTTAATACTTAACTAGTCAATGACAAAGTTGAAAAATTTATCTTAATGTATTTTTAATTATAAAAACTCATCGTTAAATTTTAATTATCTTAATGCTTCCTAATTACATAATCACAAAATAATTGTGATTTTTAATAATTATTAGCAGAATTAAATAAAATGTTAAAATTGTAGGTTAAAAATTTTTTTTTCTATAAAAAATTATTATTAACTTTTGTAAAAAGTATTTTTTTAAACTTATAGCATAATATTTCTTACTGAGATTTCAAAATAATTTTACAAAGTTACTTATAATTAATTTTGCTTAGGATAATAATATTTTTACAATTAATTAAGTTATAATATTATAATAATAATCTTTTATTAATAAAACTAATTACAAAGAAAATTTCGTTAACATAATAAAAAAAATAGGTTGTAAATTAGATTTAAAATATATAAATTATTGTTTAATGATAATACCAGCAAATAATTTACATAAAAATCAAACAATATATAAAAATTAAGAAATTTTTCTGTCAGTATAAGTTGAACAATTAAATAGTATAATACAATTTAATCTTCTTCTTGGTTGAGCTCTTGAACCGCTTCATTGATTTCAATTTCTCTCTCTCTGTTTGTTATATCTTCATCGTCAGAATCTGGATCCATGGTAAGTTGAATTTGTAGACAATTTGTACAATTTTCGCCAACACAAATTCGACACACTGAAGTGCATTGCATTCCTGCTTTTCTACAAGTATATTAACATTAGGGCCGCGAAAAAAAGACGGTATAGTAGAGTCTCTAGAAATGAGTATCTTTTCGGATGCCACCCAGCGCTCAAAAGTTGAACTTTTAGAGCGAGGATAACAAAAAAATTTTTTGATGCTCATCTGACCCACATCAGAAAATTTTTTATTAAATACTTTAATTGTAACTTAATTTTACATGTATAATTTCACAATATTGCAGTCACTCTCAGAAAACCTTGTAACAACAGCACTATTTGCCCTGCTTTTTCGAACTGCTCAGCGTGTGCGCACCACTTCTAAATCAATCTTGTTCGGAATTGTGTATAGCTGACCATTCAATTTGTTTAGATGGCATCTGTAAATGTGAAATAAATTACGTTGCTCATTCAAGCACTTTCTGCAAACTTGGTGAATATTTAAATTTTTTTATCAAATAATCATTAAATGTAATTCATACTTTACTCGATTTTGCTGTTTTTTCACTAGATTATTTTGAGACTACTTGGTGCCAGATAAATTCTGATTGTTCCATAATCAAAAATGCGGTATGCCATGATACTGAAAAATGTTTGTGCGATAAGAACTACACTAAATTTACAAAGGCTTTTGATCAATTAAATCCTCAAGTTTTATTCATTACCATGTTTGAAATGGGTTTTTCATTAGACTCTATCTTATGGTTCCACTCTTATCTCACAGGAAGATCACAAGCAGTCATCAACGCAGAAAATTTGTCATCTGAATTCATTACTACTACGTCGGGTGTGCCTCAAGGGTCTGTTTTGGGACCAATATTATTTCTTATAGTCATAAATGGTGTGGTTAAACGGCTAAGTTTTTGCAAACATGGCCTGTTTGCTGACGACAAATGGGCTTACCTGCATTTCAAGATCTCCAAACTAGATGAAGCAGCTCACCGTCTTACTACTGATGCTCAAGCGGTAGCAGACTGGTCGCGTGATATGGGTTTCGAAATTAATTATGGAAAGACTAAGGTGATGATTTTAGGAAGCAACCGGAAGTTAAAATCTCTTGCAAACATTGTACTTCCGCAAATTATTATTGATGGAAATCTAATACCGTATGTAAACACAACTAAGCATCTTGGGGTTCATCTATCTGCAAATCTTTCCTGGGATTTTCATATTTCGCAGGTATCTCGAAAAATCTTTGCCTCATTAAATAGCCTAAAGCGCAGGAAAAATATCCTGTCTCCTTCCTTGCGCAAGTTAATTGTGTCTGCCACGATATTGCCTATTATCGACTATTGTTCAGTTGTGCTGGTAGATTTATCTAAGAGACTTGAAAGCAAATTACAGAGATCGGTAAATAGTACCATTCGGTTCATTTATAGTTTGAGACGTGATGAACATATCACACCATATCGACGTTCACTAAATTGGCTGAATATAAAGTCACGAAGACTGTATTATCTGGCTTGTTTATTCTTCAAATTAATAACGATGGGTGAACCGAAGTTTCTACGTAGATTATTCACAGAAGAAGATCCTGAAATTAGGCGATCAGATAGGCTGGCAGCTAAGAATAATATTTCCTTCAAGATGCCAAATTTTGCTACTACGACCTATGAGCATTCATTTGTAGTAACAGCTATCCGGTTATGGAAGGACTTACCACCTGAGATTGTAAATGTTCTTAGTTTAGAGACTTTCAAAGTTAAATTGTTCGATTTTCTAATAAGTAATGAATAGTTAAAAATTAGTATGCTGGAAAATAACATAATATTGTGATGTATATAATAATTAGATTTACACTCTTGTCATAATTGCAATTTGTTTTATATATTCTATTAATGCCTCAAAATTTATTGTACTTATTTGAACACTATCTTTGTATATAAAATTTGCCATTCGGCTTAACGCCTTGGCATTAAAACCAAAATAAATAAATAAATAAATAAAATGCACTGAAGGAGGTTATCAGACTGTAAATTCTCTAAACACTGCTTAAAAAAATTAAACTAGATAATTTACTTTTGGTACTCTTTTGCGGCCTACATGAAAGTATAGTAAATGAAATTTTTTGTTGATAATTAGTTTTCTACCCTAACCTAGCTGCATTTTAATAATTCTGGCTTATAAGTAATCCGAACAAAAACAGTTTCACTGTAAAAAAATTGCGCCAAGTCCACGTTCATAAGACTATTAAGAAAAAAAAATTAGTTTTTTCTTTACAAAAAGATATAAAATAAAAAAATTAAAAAATCCAAGTAACCGATATGATTGTATATGATTTTCCGAAATTAGAAAAAATTTTATTGTAAATTTAAAAATTAAAAAAAAAAATTTTGGAACGTACTTGGTGTGCGTCACATTGTGTATTTCAATTTTTTTAAAGCCCTAGTAAATAGATTTTACGAATTTAATTAAAAATAAAATATTT